ACAGCTTGCACGCCCACAGGGCCAGCTCTCCTTCAGCCATAGGAACCTCAAGGAAGGTGAGAGGAAAAAAGGAAGAAGTGGTCCTTGGGAAGTGTGTGTGCTGACTTCTCAGTGGGGTATTGGGAGAGTATTTTCTTCCAGTTGGAGACTGGGCAGTAGGGAGCCGTCCTCTGAATACTCACTGGAGACGTGTTATTTTTGTTAGGAGGATGGGGAGCTCTGCCAGAGGGCATCTGTACCTTGTTCTTTTTTTTTTTTTTTTTTGGAAGAACGTTTGTAGAAAACTCAGAATAGCAGTTAATGTAAGGTTAGAAAACGTGTTTGGAGCCCTTTCCACAATTTGAAGCGTTTTTCATTCTACGAGTTCATCCCAGCCCCTGGATTGCCTGGCTCGTCAGTCTCTCTGCATCCCTTCTTTCCTCTCGCTTCTCTCCGCCACCCTGGCCACGGCAGCTGGACACACCGCTTGGGCCTTTGTTCAGATGTCCGCAGCTGGCCGTGGTACCTGGCTGGTTGGGAAGCCCAGTCAACGTTGGAATATACACCCTGGGATCTGCTTTCCCTTCTCTTTTCTTCCTGCTGCTTTTTCTGCTTTTCATTCTTCTGGTTTTATGTCCTCATTCAGAACACACACACACACACACACACACAGACCCACACTAACCAGGTGTCCTGCACGCAGCCCTGCACAGGGCGTTATTGATCGCCAACAAATGGCAGCTTTGGAAAGGGAAATCCAAATTTAGGGTCAAGACTGTGGGGGTTAGCCCGATAGAGCAGGAGAGTCTGAGGATACCTTGTCTGAGGGATCGGCCTTAGTCAGAATCTGCTTTGCAAACACAGCGGATTAAAAGGGGTTTTTGTTGAGGTTGAGCAGATGGACAGGGAGAGGCAGAGTTCACATTAACTGATCGTAAATCAGGACTCCGTTGTAGAAGGGAAAGATCTGGGTCTGGTCACTTAGAAGTTTGAGCTAATTTAATTTATTCTTCTTCTTTCTTATTAGAAGAACACCTCATGCTTATATAAAAAAAAAAACACTGTGAAGAATTTAGGAAGTATGTGTGCCAGAGAAAGTGATAAATTCCCTATGTTCCCAGAAAGAATCACCCGTCAACCCCTCCAGCATAATCCTCCTGATTTTGTCTGCCCTACCAACATCCCCACGTATACATATACAGTTATTATTCAATAAGACTTAAAATACGTATTTCTCTTTGAGTTAAATACAAGAGAAGACTTGTAGCTAGGTCTTGAAGGTTGGAACACAAGCTCAGTGATCTTTTGGGTCAGGCCACCAGCTTCAGTTTTAGTAATAAAACCAAAGAAAATGTGTAAATTTATGTTTGGGAAAGCCAGGGCAAGCTCAGGTGAAGGAAAAGTTCATTGGCACAGAGGGCCATGTTGAATTTATGATCTTCCATCCTTCGAGCAACACCTTGATAACCTCCCCGGGAGGAATAGCATGTCTGTCTATGTTTTTCCTGTTGCCCCCTAGTGGGCCCAGAAGAAATGTTCAGGCAGGAAAAGAATTCTGCACTTGGGACACTCTCTTCCCCCATTTCTTTTCTTTTTTTAAAAATTTTTTAAAAAGATTTTATTTATTTGAGAGAGAGCGTGAGAGTGATAGAGCCTGGGAGGGGGGTTGGAGCAGGGGGAGAGGGAGAAGCAGACTCCCTGCTGAGCTGGGAGCCCAACGCTGGCTTGATCCCAGGACCCCGGGATCATGACCCGAGCTGAGGGCAGATGCTTAACCGGCTGAACCACCCAGGTGCCCCTCTCTTCCCTCATTTCTAATGCTCTGACTCTGGATTGGTGGGTGTCCTCTGTTCCCTCTACACATGTTTTGACATAACAAACACTTGAGGCTCCGGGTTGCTCTCTTAGCAGGCGAGGGCTCAGGCCCGTGAATTGAATTTAGTCCTGTGTTTGGTGAAAATGAGGCACATGAAACAGTCATGTCATAGTGTGAGATGCCCAAACTGGGACAGTCTAGAAGCCCTCAGAGCAACCGAGGGTTGGTCCAGTTCATCACCACTTGCTGTGTATTCTGTTTAGAAATCATTAATAGCGTTTGGGTGCTTCCCTCCTAGTGTCAGTTCTCCTGACTGTTACCATGACAAAATTTAATTAAGTACAAGAATTAATTAAAATGAAACCCTAGGGAATCTGTTTGAAAAAGTTCTTTCAGTAGAGATGATTGGAATGCTATGGAAAATCTCTGGTAAATTATTAAGTTGTTAAACTATTAAATTTATTGATGTTATTAAAAATTTTTTTTTAAAGATTTTATTTATTTATTTGAGAGAGAATGAGAGATAGAGAGCACGAGAGGGAAGAGGGTCAGAGGGTCAGAGGGAGAAGCAGACTCCCTCAGAGGGAGAAGCAGACTCCCTGCTGGGCAGGGAGCCCGATGTGGGACTCGATCCCGGGACTCCAGGATCATGACCTGAGCCGAAGGCAGTCGCTTAACCAACTGAGCCACCCAGGCGCCCTTAAAATTTTTAATTATTAAAATTATTACATTATTAAATTATCAAAAGGACACGTGATCTTTTTGATAAGACAAGTATATGATACTGTGGAAAACTGTAAAAGCCTGGAGTTGTACACTCAGATTACTTCATTAGTGTCTTTAAGTTCTTAAAACTAAAGAAGCTCAAGCTGGAGATCCTGCTTAGTGAACGTTGGGTTTTTGTTGAGTGAATGAGTCCAGGGAGGGAATAGCAGACTCAACAGACCCATCCCACTTTGGCTCTCGCTGCTGGATAAAATGCTACTTTATTGAGGAGGCTTTGAGAGTCATTATTACTTCCTTTCTTTCTCGGCTGAGTGTTTTATGAAAAGCCAGGGATGTAAAGATTTCTCGGTGTTGCTTCCTTGTGCAAGAATTGGACCCGTCACCAGAATCAAGGCCCACCTCCTCCCTGGGCTTGTTCATAGCACTGCCCAGCCCCGACTGGCCCTTCCACCTTTGTCTTTTGCCATTTCCTGCCTTGCGTTGCAGTGCTTCTGGCCTTGCTGAAGGAGGTGCAGCCTGTGGCCACACGCATGCGTGGACGACTCACGTGCACCACTTTTCTCCCATCTCCTGCCTTCCTTTCATGGGTTACTGGTAACCGTGTCCTTCATCTGGCCGATCCCGGTCTCACCTCTCCTGCAAAGTGTATGTTGGCACCTCCCTTACCCTACCCCGCTTACTCATTATTTACCTGTTGCCTCGTTCCCTCCACCGGAATGTGAGTTCCATGTCTCCCCACCTGCGGATCACCCGGCATACAGCAGGCATTCTGTAAATGGTGCTGGAATGTTGAATGCATGATCAGGAGCCTTCTGTGTGCTGGGCAGTGTTCCAGGTCCTTTTCCAAAGGAGAGATTTACCCCCTTTCTGCTCCTTAGCACTCTGGACTTAGCTGCATCATTTCACATATGATTTTGCACTAACAGCATGTGTCTGGCTCTTTTTCTTACCAGCTCATGGGTTTGCAAACTACAGCCCAGGGGCCAAATTCAGCCTACCGCCTTTTTTTTTTTTTTTTTTTTTTTTTGGTATGACCTGGTTGCTAAAAATAGTTTTGAGCCTTTGGTGGGGACTGATTGTTGACAGATTTGGGAACCTCACTTCTTGACCTACAAAACCTACAAAACCTAAACTGTTCACTGCCTTGGCCCCCGTCAGCACGTTTGTTGAATCCTGAAGGAGACCAAGCTTTTTTTCTAGGATAAGGGGACTGTCTTGCCTCTTTGAATTCCCATGACATAGCAGCACTCAGTATAATCCGAAGGGTTTCTCGTTTTTGGCATAGAACTGAACTCACTTTTTTTTTTTAATTTACTCTCTGGGGTCAGATGGGGGTATGAATCCTGGCTCTGATCTGTTCTAACTGTGAGGTTGGTGCTGGGGTGGGTGTGGGGATGGCGTAGGCTGAGCCTACTTCCTTGTCTGAAAACTTGAGGCAGTAATAGCTGTTTCTCATGGCCACTGTGAGGGCTAAAGGGAGCTGTAACTGTATCAGCATCTATACAGCTTAGTGCAGGTTTGTGTTTAACAGTAGCTGCTACTGTTTCTCCAGATAGACATCCAGCTAAAGTTGTATAGTCTGGTCATAATTGCATAAACAAAATATGTAGCAATCGCAAATTTTTAAAAGATTTTATATATTTATTTGAGAGAGAGAGCACAAATGAGAGGCAGAGGGAGAGGCAGAGGGAGAAGCAGACTCTCCACTGAGCAGGGAGCCCAATGCGGGACTCGATCCCGGGACCCTGGGATCATGACCCGAGCCAAAGGCAGACGCTTAACCAACGGAGCCACCCAGGGGCCCCAGCAATTGCAAATTTTTTAAAAAATCAGTCATTTTAGGATGACTTCTCTATTTTCAGTGGTGTTGAAAATTAAGAGTTGACCTTCTGGGGGGCGTCTGGGTAGCTCTGTCGGTTAAGTAAGCATGATCTTGTGATTTCAGCTCAGGTCATGATCTCAGGGTTGTGAGATTGAGCCCCACATAGGGCTCTGTGCTCAGCAGGGAGTCTGCTTGAGATTCTCTCCCTCTGCCTCTCCCTCCACTCATGTGCCTTCTCTCTCTCTCTCTCGCAAATAAATCTTAAAAAAAGAAAAGAAAGTTGACTTTCTGTCCATGGATCTGATTCTTAATTTTCTTCCCCTTTTCTGTGTTTTTTGTTTTTTGTTTTGAGGTTGAATGAATCTCACGATACCAATTTAGAAAAGCATCTAAGGTGCCGTTAAGACAGAAGGCCTTATGTGCGGGGGTGAGTTATTCTAGGACTCTAAGAGGTGGGGATGTGTTCTTGGAGCAGTTCCTGCAGCAGGTGAATCTCTTCCTGGAGAGGCAGGTGATGCTGGTGAGGTTGGCTGGGCCGGGGAGGGACATACTTCTGGGAGGACTGTATTGACTTTGCAGGCTCGTGGGCACTCTACAAAGGCATGAAGAATTGAAATGCATTCATACATGATGTATCTTGGACCTCTTTCTTTGCAGGGACAGTGAAGGTGAAGAGCTCCAACATCCAGGTTGGAGATCTTATCATCGTTGAAAAGGTGGGTGGGATCCCGCAGTTTGTGACCGGTTGCTGTGTGAGTGTGTAAATGGGAAGTCATTGCCACTAATTCATAAATCCTAACATGTAATTTGTATATCTGGTAGAATAACTGAATGTAGGCTTTTTGGGATTCTCTCCTAAACCTTTGCCTGGGGAGGAAAATTTCTTTGCCATGAGACACCCACGTAGAATACTTTTTCAAGGTTTATGTATGCTGGTTAGCCAAAAATTCTGCTTACAAAACCAAGTTTCGATTTCCTATTTGATGTGTTTATTTTGGTGCCTTTAAAAAAAAAAACTACCATAAAGTCTTTCCTCGAAGTCAGCTTGCTGCATAAGCACATAAAAATATTTGTCATTTACCGTTTCGAGTGATTTTAGCTTGCATTTTTTGACTTAAACATTGTGCTTTTCTGTCATTTTGTGGGGAGCAGGAATGAAATGTAATATGAGAATAGTAAAAAGGGCCAATAATGCATTTTTAAAAATAGCACCATTCCTACGTTTGTGACTTCAGCAAACACTCCTGTCTCCTTTTGCTGTCTGTTTGGAAGGTCGTGGGTTTTGGGGGTGGCCCTGGAGAAGCTTGGAATAATATTTGATTAGAAAAGGATTGTATTGTAGCTTGTTTCTGTAGGAAGTGAACTGTGCTCTTTTAAAAGGATTAAATCTAAGAACTCAAAGTCGATTTGAGGTGAAGGGAAGCTCTTCTGGGTGGTAGCTCAGAAGAACCACACAAATGCTTTATGTTGTTAGATACTTCTGTGTTCATAATTAAATGAGGGCTGCTGTTGGCTTACGTCGTTTTTTTTTTTCTTGTGAATGGCTTTTGTTGCTTCTTACTACTTGACTTCCTTATTAAAATTCCACTCAAAGTCAAACATCAAGCCAGAAAATTGGTAGGAGCAGAAAGCGTGAGCGAGTGTGTGTGTGTCTTTAGTTTCAGCAGACCGCCTGGAAGAAAGCCAGCTAGGGTAGCTGGCTTTCAGCCGGGGCCCTTCTGGCTGGAATTTCAGGAGGTAATGGTTGGTTTCTCCAGAAAACTAGAAGCTCTCTTTCCGAGATAAGATTTCAATAGGGGATTAGTGAAGTAACAGCAGCGTGCAAGATTTTTCAGATTCAAAACAAAATAAATCCCCAGATCTGTCTCTGACAAAGGCAGAAACGTAAATGAGGCTGTGGGTTTCGGAGGGGGACACCCCCTCCCCACTGAGGGGGCTGGTGGGGGGGGACAGAAACCCCACACATGGCTGTTCACGGTAACAGTCTTTCTTTTCATTACACAGAACCAGCGGGTCCCTGCTGACATGATCTTCCTGAGGACATCAGAAAAAAACGGTAAACATCTGGGATCAATTTTGAAAATAACCATTAACCTTTCAGTGGTAATTTGGCAAAATAATCATTTGAAAATGGAACAGAAGTAGATGATCATTTTGGAGCCACGGAGGCAAATCAAAAACATCTCTTTTGTAGAGCAGTCTTAAAACAAAAAATGTTTTCGGTCCTTGCAGGTCAATAGATTTTGATCATCACAAAGATACAGTTAGTTGGGCCCAGGCTGAGTCCCAGCTGACTGGTCCACAGGCAGCGGCTATGATTTTCCTTTCTGAGCTGCTGTTGGGCTCAACTTCAGGACTTGGCGGGATCAGGAAGCGTGCTTCACAAATAGAAGCACGCAGAAATCCTCTCTCTTCTGAGAAAATAGCAGGAGATATGTGTGACCGTAAGAGAAGCCAGGGAGAGAGGTAGGTGGCCGTCTTGGCCCTTCGCTCACGAGTGGTGAGGTCATGCCTACCCTCACCCATGAATTTATTTATTATCACAGCCCACTTAGGCCTGAGCGAGCTCCTCCAGGCTCTTACAAGACCCTGCTCATTCCCAGTTCTTTCCCGGTGTGGCTGACACCAGTGACTGCCCACCCCATCTGATGACTCTGATCTCCTCCTCCTTTCTTTTTTGTTATTTAAGCTGTTTTGAGGAAACAAGGCTGTTTTTCGCTTGTGTACAGGCACAGTCAAATCTCTGAACATCTGAAAAAGTTTGCGTTTAGAGTACTTCAAGGTTGCTGCAACCTATTTTATTATGAATCAAATAAAAGTTGTAGATGAAATTTTATACTAAAAATACATTACCCAGAGATGGAGTGGAAGGCACCAGATTAGAAGTCTTCTTTTAAAATCTCCAGCTTTGTCCTCAGTTGGTTCTTGTGTCCTTATCTGTGAAGATAGAGTGTCATGGATTAGAGTCCCTGAAATGCTTCCCTCTCAACACTCCCCCCCCCCGAAGATTAGACATGCTTTTCCTTAATAGTGCCCAGAGGTCTTAGCTGTGGTGTCCGTGAATTCAGTGCATTCTGGGTCTGATGAAATCTACAGCTGACTCATTGCTGGGCTTGCACGTTGGACAGAAATAGGCATCCATGTGCAAGCAGGTAACGAGCACATGCTCTGGTAGCACTTCCTGCATTTTGAGCAGTCAGCCAGGGTCAACTGTAGAGTCTGCAACCCTGCTGCTGTTCTGTTCGTTTTTACACTCAGGGAAACCAAGGCTCAGAAAGGGTAAGTAACTACCAAGGACATGCAGCTAGTAAGTGGGGTAGCTAGTCTTAAATCTAGGAGTCTGGTTCCTGATAAGGTGTCCATATCTCCTGCCCAGAATGGCCTTGAATGCTAGCTGCCCTGTGCCAGCCACCATGCTGGGGGTTCTAGCACCCCAAATCTTCACAAGCAAGCTCCTGAGCTCTGTGTTCCTCCCATTTCACAGATAGGGCCTGCTGGTGTTTAGCAAAGTCAAGAAACTGGCCTAGGTTTCTACTGTGAACAGATGATGGAGTGAGGATTTGTTTTTGTTTTTTTTAAATTTATTTCTTTATTTGTCAGAGAGTGAGCACAAGCAGAGAGAACTGCAGGCAGAGGGAGAGGGAGAAGCAGGGAGCCCGATGTGGGACTCGATCCCAGTAGCCTCGGAACATGACCTGAGCTGAAGGCAGATGCTTAACTGACTGAGCCACCCAGGTGTCCCTGGAGTGAGGATTTGAATCCAGATCTTCCAACCCAAGAGCTTACAGAGGAAGTGGGAAATGGGGTATTTGTTTTCCCTTTTGGTTGTGGGCCACTAATTGGATTTTTACAAAGGCCAGAGCAGGAACTACTGAGAGCTGCCAGGGGAAGGATCCTTGAATCGAAAGCGAATAGACAGTGCCCACCTTCCTTCCATAGGGTCTTGCTTCCTGCGGACGGATCAGCTGGACGGCGAGACAGACTGGAAGCTGCGGCTCCCTGTGGCCTGCACGCAGAGGCTCCCCACTGCGGCCGTGAGTAGCTCTCCTGCAGAAACACAGACTGGCCACGGTGTCCTTATCAGGCCCTCGAACTCAGAGGCCCTCAGATGCCAGATGTGGGATGTCAGGTGTGAATGAGGGCTGACAGGATGGGGTCCTGGGCAACCCCCCCAGCACCTGTGGTTTCAAGTCACACGGCCGAGTGAAGTGGGAGCGGGGCTCTTTGGAGGGAAGCTCAGAATGTTAAGAAGCCTCAACCAGGTGCCTTGTATAAAGCTAGAAGGTAAGGCAGGTATATCGTTCCTCTGCTCAGGGTCTCCCGAGGCTTCTTGTTACTGAGAACCCACACTACAGCCCTTGCTATTGTCCTCAAGGCCCGTGTGATCTGTGTCCCTGCCTGAACCCCGACCTCAGCCTGGGTGATCTGCCTGCCCGTGCCCTCTCCCTCCTGATCAGGCATCCTCTGCGTCCCAGCGTTTGTCCTTGCTGTTTCCTCCTCCAGGGACAGTTTGTACCCCAGGGGCTGCCTGGCTGGGCCTCTCCTGAATACCTCCTGGGTTTTGTGCCTAGATCTCCTTATCTGAGAGGCATTTTCTGACCACCTTTTGCTTGCCTTCCCACCCGACTCACTGCAAGGCAGTGTCTCCGAGAGCAGAGTTCTGCCTGGTATGTTCACTACTGAATGAATACCCCATGCGTGGAACAGTGTGAGGAACAGCACACAGACCCTCTCTCGGGGTGGCCTAAGGAGTTAGGACCAGTAGGCTCTCAAGGGTCTGCAGGGCCCCACACTTCCCCATTAGCCCCACATCACTCAGGCCATGATCTGTAAAGAGAGGGGGGAGCAGGGAGCCAGAGAGTAAGTTTAAGCACGAGCCACGTGGATTGGATGTGGCCCATGGACTAGGTTACAAAGTCACAAAACATAATTTAAATGCCCAGAGACCAACATGCCCCAACAGTGGTCTGAAAGGATTAGGAAGAACATGAAAGCTTTTCCTGGGCTTGTGGTCATGTGGATTGATGCTGTTCCTTAACCGTGTTCTGTGAGGAAGGAGTGGGCAGGAGAATGTTCCATGTTAATATACCAGTAAATGTGCCCCCTGCCTTAATGATTTTTCATGGTCAGTCACAAGTGAAATAGCACCGTTATTAGTATTAATTTTTAAACCAGAATTCTAGAGCAGTGAGTATTTTTTAAATTTTATTTTATTATGTTAGTCACCATACAATACATCATTAGTTTTTGATGTAGTGATCCACGATTCATTGTTTTCGTATATAGAGCAGTGAGTTTCTAACGATGGTTGGGAGCCCCTAGGAATCCTTAGGAGGCACTGTCCTGCCCCCGCTATGGGGTTCATCTAATGAGAGGGTTCTGATTTTTCTGGGTGACGCATTTTAACTCCCTGGTAAGATTTCTCCAAGGGAAGCTTTCTGATCCTCAAAATGATTTGAAGGACTCTCTTTAAGAGACAGTCTAGAAGAGCCTAGAATCATGAAGGTGCTTCCCTGTCTGCTGCGCAGAGTTGCATTTGTCGATGTGTGCTTTGGATGTGTCAGTTTAATAAACACTCATGTTGCCCCCCCCCCCCCCCCGCCCAGCCCCCATCTGGCCCAGGCCTGGGCTGGGCTCCAGAGAAGGAGGAGATGCCACTCTTCTTTGTTGTCAGGAAACTCTTCCTTACTGGGCCGGAGGGATCTGAGTGGGGAGCAGCAACTGAGCAGAAGAACTGTATGAAAGGATGACCTGGGCATTACATGAATATATTCTTGTTAAAAAAAAGAGTATAAATAAATTGTATGGAAGGCCTTGGAGGAAGAAATAAAAAGTCTTGCTCATGCCTCTGCCACAGACCTTACCTGCTTCCCTCCGTGTAAAGTCCCTAGTGATCTTTCCAGACCTCTGCCAGCACACTTTCCTACAAATGCACAACTGTGGACTTGGTGGTGGAGGGGAGCTTATACATATATGAGATCACACTGTATTTGTGATTCTGCAACTTTTGCTCTTGTCTACTTTGAATGTATCTCGAGGTCTTTTTTTTTTTTTTTTGAGATTTATTTATTTATTTGAGAAAGAGAGCAGGGAGGAGGGGGCAGAGGGAGAGAGAATCCTCAGGCAGACTCCACGCTGAGCGCAGAGCCCCATGTGGGGCTCTCCATCTCACGACCCTGAGATCACGACCTGAGCCGAAATCAAGAGTCCGACGCTGCAGCCAGTAGCCTCTACCCCTCCTCTAGGTCCCTGTAGCCAAGGGGTATTGTCTGAATTTGCCTGGCCACCTGATTGGAGATTTTTTTTTTTTCCAATTTTTTTATTGTGGTAAAATACGGATCAAATGTACCATGTTATCATTTTAAAAATGTACAGTTCAGTGGTGTTAAGCACATTTACGTTGTGCAGCCATCACCACCGTCCATCTCCGGAGCTCTTCATCATGCAAAACAGAAACCCTGTACCCATCAAACAACAATTCCCCATTGCCCAGCCCCTGGCACCCACCGCTGTAATTTCTGTCTCTGTGAATTTGACTGCTCTAGGGACCTGATCTAAGTGGAATCATACAGTATCTGTCCTTTTGTGACCTGTTTATTTCACTTAGCGTAGTGTCCTGAAGGCTCATCCATGTGGTAGGCTGGGTCAGATTTCCCTTCCTTTGTAAGACTGGGCAATATTCCATTGTATGGATATCTCCCATTTTGTTTATCCATTTATGCATGATGGACATGTGGGTTGTTGCCATCTTTCGGTGATTGTGAATAATCCTTTTATGTACATGGCTGTACAATATCTTTGAGACCCTGCTTTCAGTTCCCAGTGAGTGGCTGCTAATCATACGGTAATTCTATGTGCAAGTTTTCGAGGGACTGCCATGCTGTTTTCCACGGTGGCTGCACCATTTTACATTCCTACCAACAGTGCACAAGTGTTCCAGTTTCTCCATCTCCTCGCCAATACTTTTTTGATGGTAGCCATCCTAATGGGCGTCAGGTGTATTTTTTGCTTTTTACCCCTCTGCCTTTTCCAGGGCTTTACACAGAGTAGGGCCCAGTAACCACTTGTTGATGGAGCACAGATCTTCATTGGTACTACCAGCTCTTGGTCACTGCAGTGGAGCAGAAAGGGGACCTCGGCCGTCAGCCAGTTTGGGAAACATGGGGTGAACACAGATAAACAGGCATCTTCACTGTGGGGTCTGCAGGGTGTCGTGGGATAGCATGTGGAGTGATTCCTAAACTTACTTAATAGAAAATTTTTTCTTCTTTTTCTTCCATCTGCCCTATACTTTTGAGAGCCTGCTTGCTGTTTGGGAGATAGAGTTGCTTTTGAAAAATTGTAGGGGCCTCCCAAAATCTTTTTAATCATGAACTTTGTTTTAACTCCAAAATGTTACCTCTGTTGAACAGGATCTCCTTCAGATTCGATCATACGTCTATGCAGAAGAGCCAAATATCGACATTCACAACTTTGTGGGAACTTTTACCAGAGTAAGTAGGCTTAGCTGACTGTGCGATCCTGCCTTGCCGAGAGCACCTGCTAGTGACAGAGACCTACAGAGAAGTGTTGACAAGTCTTTGTCAGGGGATAGCTTTGCTCCAGGGAGGGGTGAGGTTCCCCTAAGAAGCCCCACCTTGAAAGCTGACATAGTGTTCTCAATGAGGTTGGCACAGCGGGTATTTTCTCCCGGCCTCTGAACAGCTTGAATTACCTGACAGCGTAGAGCCGAGTGGTGTTAGAATTAACGGGAACTCTGTGGTGTGAAGGCAGGTACTCTTTCTGTCCCATTTGGACACGTTCACGACCTCTTCTACTCACACAAGTCCCGGCTGGCATTGTTAACAATTTTTAAGCCACTTCCCAACTATTCAGGCTAGAAATTAAACTTGGATGTCAATTATTTGAAGAATCTGGGACAGTAGATTTATAGAACCCACATTAAATTCCTGGTCTCTTTCTAGAAGCCATAGGACTGGCCAGCAAAGGGCTGTTTTTGTTTGATTTGCATCTGCATTTTAGCTCTTGCCTTGTAAGACATGTCTTCAGTATTAGAAGCCTGTCCTTCTTCAATCACAAACCAGTCTTTTCATGAATGGCCCTGGGAATGAAAACCACACCAAGGACGGTAGCTTAGGAGCTTGTCCCTTCTCTCCTGGCTGAACTGGGGGCTTCCAAATAGGGGTCATCCTCTCTTCCTGTCTTGGGAAGAGCAGGCTGGAGACAGCCTGTGGATTCTGCCAGAACCTTGGTGGATAAATGTGTGTCTGTTGGTCTTTTGCAGGAAGACAGCGACCCTCCGATCAGCGAGAGCTTGAGCATAGAGAACACGCTCTGGGCTGGTACTGTCATTGCGTCGGGTAAGGGCCCCCTTTCTGAGGAATGTGTTAGCAATTTGAAAAGGAAAGAAAATCCTTTTGTATAATTAGAATAATCATCTGTCAGTTAGGAAAATTAGCCGTCGGTCATATGGTGTTTTCCACTTGCTTCTGCCCCTCCAGGGAATTTTGCTGACATCTGATTGCCCCTCGGACGCTTGTGGACGTCTTTAAGAGAAGTTGCTCTGGCTGGTGTGCTTTTCGGCAGCGTCCACTCTGGGAATAGCCCTTAATTGCCACCTGAGATTGACATTCTAATCTCTCCCAGAAATTGGGCCAGCCTGGATGTTCTGGCCGGAAGTTGTGTCCGTGGGGGCTGCCAAGCCAGTCCTGCCAGTCTCCCCCCCCCCCCCCCGGGTGCGCAGGAAAGGGCCATGGGCCTGAGTTGGAGTCTTGGTGTTTAAAACACTGAGACGATGTGGAAATTGGTGTCTTTTACTTTTTGAACCCTGGGGTGAAACGGACCCGAAGAGGTTCCAGGGGCTGAGCGGTGTCTGCGGTAGCAGTGTTGGTAGCAGTGGGATGCCACCAGGCTGTCCAGCACCTCGTCAAGCCCTTTACGTGCATTACCCATTTCACTGACCCCTCCTACCAACCTGTTTTCTTGTGCTTGATGCTGCTCTGTGGCTCTTTAGTACAACAGGTGCTCAGGATACTCTGTGGCTAGGAAAGGGAATGGCCAGCACAGACCAGCACAAACTAAACACATGGCCGCCTTGTTTACCGTCCACAGATGAAACACTTAATGCAAACGGACAGACAGGAGTGCTTCCTTTAGGTCTCCTGCCATTTTTCCGTTTCCATTCCCTGCCCGTATTTGCAGCCTAATCTGGAATGTCTCTCAGTTCCTCCTCATGACTAAAGAAGTGAGAAATGGGTCCTTAAGGGGCGCCTGGGTGGCTCAGTCTTTAGGCGTCTGCCTTCGGCTCAGGTCACGGTCTCAGGGTAGTGGGGTAGAGCCCCACGTCGGGCTCTCTGCTCCACGGGAAGCCTGTTTTCCCTCTCCCACTCCCCCTGCTTGTGTTCCCTCTCTCGCTGTGTCTCTCTCGGTCAAATAAATAAATAAAATCTTAAAAAAAAAAAAAAAAAAAGGAAATGGGTCCTTAAGTTTCTGCACGGGTCAGGACGCACTGCCTGCCACACTGTGGCCACGCCCACATCCGAGGCCACGCCCACAGCCACGGCCACACCCACCAGCCCCTGCAGCAGCCCTTCCCCTCCAGCCTCTCCCCTGCCACGTGTCCACCCACGTCTCTCAGAACTGGTTACTCTTCCCTCCCAGTTTTTCTCCCCTTTGAAGTCATTTATTAACAAGTAATTATTCCTTTTAATATTTAATAATTTCACAGAAAAATAAGGAGTGTGTTTCGATTTGCATTTCCTAGATTGCCTGGAAGGTTGGCTTTCTTTGTGGTCTGTCTGGTCTCTTCCTTTGTTCCTTACTTTTTATACCCACTAGCTGTTTTTTCTCTTTCTCTTATTCGTTTGTGAGAGCTCTCCATTTCTGGTTTTTGAAACGATTTTATGGTGTATTTGATGTGCAGGTGTTTCATAGTGTTACCGTTCTTGTCTGGTGATAGAGGGTATCTTGTTATTGTTTTGTTTATTTCATTGTGAATAGAGGAAACATCTTTCTACACATAAGACATTTCTTAACGTTTTGGTCGATCTACTTTCTGTTTTTCTTATTGACTTGTAAGCCTGCTTCATAGCAGAGAGAATATCAAACTGTCATCTCGTATGTGACGCAAATCTCTTTTCCAAGTTTATTGTTTGTCTTTTGTTTTTGTCTTTGATGTGCTTTGTTTGGTTGTTCCAGATAGAAATTCTAAATATTGATGTTATCCACATTTCCATAGAAACGGAATTCCTAGGGCAAAGGGCATATACATTTTACATTTTGGTTGACCCTGCAAACTTCCTCTTCTTCTAAATAAATCACACTCCTGATAATCTGACCTTATATGTACATCCTAGCTAACACTGTCTTCTGTTTGACTTTTTAATTTCTGCCCATTTGATAGCCGTTGAATAAATATCTGATTTACTGATTTGCCTTTTAAAAGTTATTTGTGGGGGTGCCTGGCTGGCTCAGGTGGTGGAACATGTGACTCTTGATCTTGGGGTTGTGGGTTTGAGCCCCATGTTGGGTACAGAGATTATTTAAAAAAAAATCTTTTTCTTTTTTTTTTTTTAAGATTTTTATTTGTTTGAGAGAAGCGGGGGGGGGGCGCGGAGGGCGGCGGGCAGAGGGAGAGAGAGAGAGAATCCCAAATAGACTCTGAGCGCAGAGCTAGATGTGGGGGCTCGATCACAACCTCGAGGTCATGACCTGAGCCGAAATCAAGAGCCAGATACTTAGCTGACTGCGCCACCCAGGCGTCCCAAAAATAAAATCTTAAAAAAAAAAATTATTTGTGAAGTTAGATTTTTTAAATGTTTTTTTTTATTTGCATTTTTTCATTTGCATTTTTAAAATGTATATGTGAATTGCCAGTTTATGCCCTATGCCCATTTTTTGGGGGGTTGATGGGTTCATTTAAAAAATGATTTCTTGGGCACTTGGGTGGCTCAGTCGGTGAAGCATCTGCCTTCGCTCTGGTCATGATCTCAGGGTTCTGGGATCCAGTCCTGTACTGGGCTCCCTGCTCAGCAGGGAATCTGCTTCTTTCTTTGCCCCTTTCCCCTGCTCATGCTCTCTCAAATAAATAACATCTTTTTTTAAAGAAGATGTTATTTATTTATTTGACAGAGAGAGAGAGAGAGAGAGGGAACACAAGCAGGGGGAGTGGGAGAGGGAGAAGCGGGCTTCCCGTTGAGCAGGGAGCCCGATGCGGGGCTTGATCTCAGGACCCTGGGATCATGACCTGAGCCGAAGGCAGACATTTAACGACTGAGCCACCCAGGTGCCCCTAAATAAATAAAATCTTAAAAAAAATTTAAAAAAGTGATTTCTAAGAACTCTATATCCTAAGAATAGCATTCTTCTGTTTCTTATCTTAATTGCAATTACTGTCTCCCAGTTGATCTCATTCGTATTTTGGCACAAAAATTTTAAAATTTTTACATCCTCAAACCTGTTGATTTTTTTTTTTTCTTTACATTTCTGGTTTTTGTGCCATGCTGAGAAAATCTTACCTGCTTGACAATGAGAAAAATACACTGATGTTTTCTTGGAGTGTTTATATAGTTTCATATTAAAATATTTGAATTCATGGAGCGAAGTTAGGAAAACTTACTGGCAGAGGGGCCTTACCTCGGCTCCAGCCCGAAGCTCTGGACCCTTGTGCTCAGTCTGTGCGTGTGGCCCCATATCCACAGTGCCCGTGAGGACTGGACATGTGTGAAAGGAGAAAGCGCACACTTTGGGATGGAGAACAGCAGGTGGAATAGGGGGTGTGAACGGAGATCAGAACACGAGGGGGTAGAATTCCCCGTGTTGTGCTGTATCTGGCACACGCAGAGCTGGAAGCTCAGGGCGCCCGGGATGTGCACATCTCTTCACCAGGCTGTAACGTGAATGGTACACACGTCATTCCTTGCAGGCAGGTGTCCTTCTGTTTCTTCTTCCGTTTTATCGAAAGCACGTATACGGAAAGTAACTAAATCCCAAACATAGCACCAGTGCTCTGATCAGTAATCAGGGTTTTGTCAGCCCCCCAGAGGTCCCCCAGCTGCCTTCCAGTCCCCCCCACAGCTACCTTTTTAAAAAAGATTATTTATTAGAGAGAGCAGAGCTAGTGAGAGCGAACACGATGCGGGAGGGGCAAGGGGGGCAGAGAAGCAGGCTCCCTGTTGGGTAGGGAGCTGGATGCATGTGGGCAGGGCCGGGTGGGGCTCTATCTCGGGACCCCAAGATCATGACCAGAGCAGAAGGCAGATGCTTAACCAGCTGAGCCACCCAGGTGCCCCAAGGGTGACAGCTGCATTGATTCCTGATAGCTTTGAGTCGTTTGGTTAGGCATTTGTTTTAACAATATTAACATTTTATTTTATTTTTTTTTTAAGATTTTATTTATTTATTTGAGAGAGAGAATGAGATAGAGAGAGAGCATGAGAGGGGAGAGGGTCAGAGGGAGAAGCAGACTCCCTGCCAAGCAGGGAGCCCGATGCGGGACCCGATCCTGGGACTCCGGGATCATGACCTGAGCCGAAGGCAGTCGCTTAACCAACTGAGCCACCCAGGTGCCCACAATATTAACATTTTAGTAATAAATTCACATCCACGTGTCTGTCTGGTGTTTATTCTGGTGATTTTCTTCTCCCCTGCCTGCTTCTTTCCGTGCAGCAAAAAAACAACAACACAAAAAACTTTTTATTTTTTTGAAAAATTTTGTAAAGAATTTTTAAAATTTCATTTTAAGTGTAATCTACTCCCCAAAGTGAGGCTCGAACTCATGACCCTTAGATCAAGAGTTGCATGCTCTTGATCTGACTGAGCCAGCCAGACCTCCCCCCCCCCCCCAAAATTTTTTTTTCTTGAGCGTCTCTATGTGATGCTGCCACACTCTGTTGCTAGGTCCTGGAGCTGCAGTGGCATGCCGGAAAATCCTTGTCTCCATCCTTGTGGTATTTGTAGTTTACTCTAAACTTAATACAGATTACAGAGGAGATGGGAGGAAATGGGGGCAGTTCTCTGAAATCCCTCTGAAACCAGTATAAAGGGAAGCGATTTAAGTGGCCATGTGGAGAATTCTGAGGTGGAGGGACCTGTCAGCCTTACTCTCAGAGATGAACAGTAATGAGTCTTCTATTTATCAGGCTCTTTTTATTTACGAAGTGTTTTGCTGCCGTTTTCTTGTTTTGGTCTCACAACATTAAATGGGGATTTAATGGAATGAAGAATGGAGTCTCAGAGAGGTTAAGCAACTTGCCTAAGGTCACACAGCCTAGGAGGTCCTCTCCTGGGAGGCAGAGAGTGTAAAACAGGTTGGGATCTTGAAGATGGGAGAAAAGATTTCAAAGTTGTGATTGGTGATGTGGGAAGAGAAAGAGCAGTGATTCCAATGATCCAGTGGCATCACCTGCCAAGTCCTCCCGCGGGTGTAGGTTTCGGAGTGAGTCTGAGAAGCTGGACATTTACTGTTACCTCAGCTGGCCTCAGTTTCCCCTGCTTCTCAGTGAGTAGTCCTCTGCATTCCGATACTAATGCACGCATGAAGTTATACACAAGCCATTTCCTCCTGGTGCTCCACTCAAGAAACAGCCATCGTTAGTCATCTTAATTCTGTGAGATTTCACTTCTCTGTTCTCTTTATAATCTAACGCCTGTGTTTTAGTCACTCGGCTGTTATCACTTAAAAGTTTAAAAAAATGAAAAAGCTTGCCAGGCAGTGCCTAGGGTCCAGCTGCCTTGGCTGGCATCAACCTAGAGAGGACGCGGTTATTCATGGCGACCCAATCCAGTGCTGCTAGGCTGAGTCATCCCTGGGGTGAGATAGGGAAGGGATGGGGGTGCGGCCTGGGGGCTTGGCAGAGTCGGTGGCCCTGGTATTACAGGGCCCTGTTCTTCAAAGACTCTCCAGTTGGTTGTGCGGCTGCCTCCCCCCACCCCAGTCCTCAGCAGATCAGTCTCTGGCCCTGCTGTCTCCCTGTGCACCTTGCCACGTGGGTTTGATCATGTCCAGCTGGTCTAGACTCTGTTCAGTGGGACTCGTCCCGCGGTCGCACGCTTGAATGTCGCAGCAGTGTCTCACTGCTGTAAACATTTCTGAAAGCTCACTCTTGGGGGTAGCATTTATCTTGTCGCAGACAGGGACAAAGAGGTCACAGAGTAGGCCCCGACCCCAGGACCGTGCTGCTGTGGAGAGTTAGGGAGAACTTGATGTGACACCCGACCACAGCATTCTGACTTGGAGAAACCAGCTGGCCGAGGATTCTGCACTTTGCCCACTGCAGAGGGCGGGAGGGGGGACATTGGAGCTGACAGCATGGGAAGTGGGGGGCAGAGAGGCTTGGGTCACGAGGTCTGGAAGGGGCGGATTGGGCTGGGTGGGGACCAGGATGAGCCGAGAGCCTGCCCCTGGATAAAAGGAGTGCCCGTGCTTGACACCTGCTGGTAATATGGACCCAGTGTCACCAGATCTCCTGATTCTCCAGGAGAAGCCAGAATTCTCAATTTTTTATATGAAAGTTCCTGTATTTAAAAGATGGCAATGAATTCAAAACCCTTGAAGCCCAGTATAGACCAAACCAGCGCACGTGTGTGGTTTCTCTCTTGGTGACTGTGGCTGGTGTTTAGATATTATGGAAGTGGTTTTGGCCTTGAGCTCAGGCAGGCACTGGGGAGAAGGGCCATTTTCATTTCAGCCTTGGGAGGCCTCATGGTTGGCCGGCGCTAGTGGAGGACCTGTTCAGGGGCCCTTGTTATTAGCACCCTCTTGAACCCTGGACCTCGGCGACCGAGACTGAACACATCTGTGCAGGAGCCATCTGCCAAGGAGCCAGCAAGTGGGCTCTCCCGGCCTGCCATCTGCTGAGCCTGCCTGGAAGGGACTGCACTGTGTGCATTAAGTGCGGAGCAGGGACTTCAGTATCTCCTCCCGCGGCTTTGTTGGGGAGACACAGTCCCAGCACTTCCTCTGGGCTTGGGCTCTGTTTGAAGCTCTCTGACGTTTTGCATCTCCCTCTGAGGGAGGAGAGTTGAGGTGTTTCTTGTTCCCAGCAGAGACCAGATTGCTTGTGTACCTGGCACCCTCCCTGAGAGCTTGGTGGGGCTGGCCCCTTGTCAGGGTTCAGGCTCCTGCTCAGGTGTCCTGAACTCAGAGACTGCTTCTCTGACCCATACCAACCAGCAGGCTTTTCCAGCTCCTTTCCTGTCTGTTCCTCCACCTGATTTTCACGATGGCGCCTGCCGCCATCCGTGATTACCTGTTTCTTGTTTCCTCCTTCATCATCTGTCTTCCCCACTGTGTTGAGCGCTTTCGTGGCATACACTCAAAAGGGGAGACAGGTAAATGTTTAATCGATATTACCAGTTTCACCCCGAAACAGACTGTTCCCGTTTACACTCCAGCCAACAGAAAGTTACAACAGGGCCCATTTCTCCGCCTCTTGGTGGAGACGCTGGATGTTATCAATCTGTGGAGTTTTTGTTGTTAAGATAGGGAAAAGAGTGGCTTATTTTGCATTTTTTAAAAAGATTTTATTTATATGACAGAGAGCCAGAGAGCACAAGTAGGGAGGCAGGCAGAGGGAGAGGGAGAAGCAGGCTCACCGCGGAGCAGGGAGCTGGATGTGGGGCTTGGTCCCAGGACCCTCGGATCATGACCGGAGCCGAAGGCAGATGCTTAACCGCTTAACGGACTGAGCCACCCAGGCATCCCTTATTTTGCATTTCTTTGATTACTCACAAAGTTGAGCATCTTTTCTCGAGAATGTTAACTGGCCTTTTGTGTTTCTTCTATAAATTGTTGACTTTTAGAAAGACTGATAAGCGGGGCTGGGGGAGGCGTGAGAGGGGGTGGGGAAGTTCTCAGGAAAGAATGGTCATCTGGACAGATAACCCCCAAGTATTCTAGTTAGACGCAGAATCAGCGGGAAGAAGGCTCTAATCAGAAGAGTGTGTTCGTAAGTTTCCATAATGATGTGTGAACATAAGGCATGTTCCAAGCACCTCTGGAAGCCTCTGAGGGCGGAGGCATGAAGGACAGACCTCCACTACCCCCCCCGCCCCCCCCAGGGGACCCCATAGACCCTCGCTGAACAGTAGACCTTTTAGCAACAATAATGGCGCTCTGTATCTTCGCAGTGACTACCAAGCCCTTGAAACTGTGTGAAAGTGGAGGGAAGGTAGAGAACTGGATATACTACTTTCTGTTGAATTTAAATTGTATTGAAATTGAAATGGCGGCCTGTGGCCAGTAGCTACCGTGCTGGTCCTTGTGGCTCTGGCTCATCATCTGTGTTAACATTTCTTTGCGTTGCGCTTTTCTCGTTCCAGGTACTGTCGTGGGTGTTGTTCTTTACACGGGCAGAGAACTCCGGAGTGTCATGAACACTTCAAATCCTCGAAGTAAGGTGTGTACGTGGTCAGAGGATGATGCCTTTCCTTGTCACAACTTTCTGACTTGATGGAGTTTGATGATTGGTGCTCGTGGGCGAGAAGCTAGCTTTAAAGACAGGAGCACCTAACACTCTTATTTTATTTATATAGACTTACTGTCTTTCATTTTTTTTTTTACAGTTTTTTTTTTTATTCATTTGGGGCAGGGGAGAGAGAGAGAGAGAGCACAAGCAGGGGGAGTGGGAGAGAGAGAAGCAGACTCCCCGCTGAGCAGGGAGCCCGATGCAGGGCTCAATTCACAGACCCTGAGATCATGACCTGAGCTGAAGGCAGATGCTTCACGGACTGAGCCACCTGGGCACCCGTCTTCTTAATTGTTAAAAAAACAAAAAAACAAAAAACAAAACAATCAGAATTCTTTGAGGTCCCTTAGTTGTCTCTTAGGAACCCCAGCCCCTGGAGCCCAGTGTTCTCAGCCAAAGATATAGGGATTGATGGGTCCCACTGTCTCACCTGGGGGGCAGGTGTTCTTGAGTGAAGGACCAGTTCTCCAGGTGGGCTCCAGGGTGCACCGGCTAACCACAAGCTCCCCTGTGCCTCGTCCCACAGATTGGCCTGTTTGACCTGGAAGTGAACTGCCTTACCAAGATCCTCTTTGGTGCTTTGGTGGTGGTGTCGCTGGTCATGGTCGCCCTTCAGCACTTTGCTGGGCGTTGGTACCTCCAGATCATCCGCTTCCTCCTCTTGTTTTCCAACATCATTCCCATCAGGTAAGCAGAGAATGAGCCATGATGTTTTCTTCTGTTTACTCGTGGTCCCTTTGAAGAATGATGATGGAAAGCCCTGCTCTGTGGCTCCAGCAGGGGAAGTGCAATTCCTCCCTGAACCAACCTTTCCTGAATTAGTCTTCACTCAAAAGATCTTGCTTGCCTGCGCTGTGCCAGGGATGCCATTTAGGGCCCATCTCATCTGCTGGCTCAAGAGGTTGGTGGTGGCTGCTGGGGCGCTGTGTTGAGACAGATCCTGGGCCCGGGTCTGTGCTTAAATGGAAATATGGTGATTGATTAGCAGTGGTGGCACATGCCACCTGTTTGCCTGCCTTCCTTGGAGGCTGAATAAATGCTCTTAGAAAAATGATACAGGTAATTGTCATAGTAGGGAAAAACAGAGATTCACAGTGGCAAAAGAATAAGATCAGAATCACCTCCCATCTCGCAACTGAGTGATAGGTGCTCTTAATATTTTGGCATATATTTTTTCTAAGCTGCTTTCTATTTTAAAGGGGGATTCTTTCTGCTTTACGTAAAATCTATTTTTTTTTTTTTTTTTTTTACAGAGAGCTGTGTTGCAGATAACTTTGCCCATCAAATATATTGGTACCCCATTAGAACTGCCCTATTATATATTCTAGGTTTAACTATTTAGCTCTGTATTATTGGGGACTTGTTTCTACTTTCCCCCATAACTGATGTTTAGTAAATCATTATTAAAATAAATCATTTTTTTCCCCCTGAAGCTTCTAGTGCTTATAATCTCTATCTTAAACTTGATTTGTTGCCTTACGATTTGTCTTGCTCTTTGGGTATTTATATCATCCCAGCTAGAATTTATGTTTTCCTGAGGATAGGGATTGTAGTTTTGGTACCGCAGTGTCCCTAGAACCAGGGGGATTGGACCCCTAGCCATTGTGGTCTAGGTCATGGTTTCAAAGAAAAATACATCTGCTTTATCACCAGCGAAAAAGTGTTTGTGGTGTAATGTTAAGTGAAGTTGTAATCTTTAAAGGTCTGTCTACAACGTGATTGAAAATTAGTGAGTTGAATCTTCACGTGGCCAATGACGAGCCAGTAAAATAGTAGGCAGTTTGGTTAATTTATAGGAGTATGAATGAATTTGACGTTCTTTTGATTTTACTTTTTGCAATAAAATAATATTTCAAGATGAATAGAATACATGTAAATGGAATATTATTCAGCCTTAAGAAGGAATGAAATTCAGACACACAGTACAACAGGGATGAACCCTGAAGGCATTACGCTGAGTGACATCAGCAGGTCCCAGAAGGACAAATGCTGTATGAGTCTTCCCACGTGAGGTCCCTAGAGCAGTCAAGTTCAGAGAGACAGAAAGGAGAGTGGTGGGTGCCAGGGGCTGGAGGCCTTAAGGGGACAGTGGGGGGTTGTTGTTTAATGGTTATGGGATTTCAGTATGGGAAGATACAATGTTCTGGAGAGGGATGGTTGCACAGCAGTGTGTTTATACTTAATGCCACTGAGCTGCACACCTAATGGTTTCTCTCTCTCTCTCTCTCTCTTTTTTTTAAAGAGATTATTTGAGAGAGAGAGAAAGAGGGAGAGTGTGGGGTGGGGAAGAGGGGAGAGGGAGGAGCAGAGTCCCGGCTGATCTGACGTGGGGTCTGATCCCAGTGTCCTGGGATCATGCATGACCTGAGCCGAAGGCAGACGCTTAACCCACTGAGCCACCCAGGCGCCCCCCTTTTCAGTATTTTAAAAGCATTTTAGACTTTCATTGTTTTATTTTAGTCCAAAACAAAATAACTTCGTGGAAGTGATGATTTGAGATATCTGAGAGTGCTGTTGACTCTTATTAAATCTGTGGATCTGGGGGCGCCTGGGTGGCTGAGTCATTATGCGTCTGCCTTCAGCTCAGGGCATGATCCCAGGGTCCTGGGATCGAGCCCCGCATCGGGCTCCCTGCTCTGCGGGAAGCCTGCTTCCCCCTCCCCGACTCCCCCTGCTCGTGTTCCCTCTCTCGCTGTGTCTCTCTCTGTCAAATAAATAAATAAAATCTTTAAAAAAAAAAAACCTCTGTGGATCTGGCCTCAAGGCTGTGCGACCATGGAGAGGGTTTCCAAATGTTGTGGCACCGCTGGTGTGTTTTGGGGTCCTCGCTGTCCGCAGACAGACACATAAGGAGCCTCGAGGGTATCCTGTTAACCTGTTTGCTCTGGTGTCCTGACTAGCCTGCGTGTGAACCTCGACATGGGCAAGATTGTGTACAGCTGGGTGATTCGGAGGGACTCGAAAATCCCTGGGACTGTGGTTCGTTCCAGCACCATCCCTGAGCAGCTGGGAAGGATTTCTTACTTACTCACGGACAAGACAGGTGAGCTGTTTCCGGGGCCTTCCCAGGCTTCATGGTGAGGGGAGGGACTTGGATTCTCTTTCTGGAGACGTTCGAGATGGATGCTTACTGCTGTTTTATTCTCTTCACCTTTTGATGAATGTTGATTCTTTGGTGATGATGCTGGTGACGATTGTCCTCACCATCAAGAAGCAAAACCTTATACGGTACTAGTTATGAGCAAAGCACTTTTCTGGGTGTTCATAGAGGGTTGTTTAGTTAATCCTCAACCTCATCTTGTGAGGTAGGCATTTTAATACCCATTTTACAGATGAGGAAATGAGGCGTGGGGAGGTTGACTGCCTTGTGAGAAGCACAGGGTGACAGAAGCAGGCTTCGGGCTTGGGCAGTCTGGCTTTGAGTCCTCATCACCGCACCCCAAAACACTGCTCCACAATTTACCATCAGAGTGGCTAAGAGCAAGGATGGGGGGGAGTGGGGACACCTGGGCTTAAGCTTCCTCTCTACCGCTTAGTGACCGTGGGACAAAAGTGAATCTGTTGCAAAGATCTGGGGTGGCTCACCACATCAGAGAAAAATGAGGTTTCAGGAAGGAACAGAACCAGAAAATTTCTGGGTACGTCAGTATCAGAACCCCTGGGATAGTCTCTGTAGGACTCTCCCATTGGGGTGAGAGATTCAGATTCAGAATCTCAAGATTCAGATTCCTTCCGAACAGAATCTAGTGTAAGTCATGTGCCACCATCTTGGCTGATGGAATGAGTCAGGCACCCTGCCTGACCTTCCCTTAAGACCATCCCAGGGAATGAGGGTGGTCATTTCCCCCATAGAAACCCAGGATGCCATTTTCAAAAGAAAAGGAGTTAGATTCCGGGCAGACCAAATCAATACCGCAGACATCTCCCCAACAAGGGCAGTGCTGAAACCTGTGTACGACGTAGAGTAGTAAACGCTCAGAAAACCACAGCTGTCCTTCATGTTACGAGAAGCCCCAGGATGTAGGCAGAGTTACTCATCTGTCTTGTGTTGCAGGAACTCTTACCCAGAATGAGATGGTTTTCAAACGGCTCCATCTGGGCACTGTGGCCTATGGCCTGGACTCAATGGATGAAGTACAGAGCCACATATTTAGTATTTATACCCAGGTAAAAACCTTCTGTTTTGATACCTGAAACAATTCTTTTGCATTTATTAGCACCTGTATTGAGATATTCTTCCTAATACTATACAACTCCCCCATTTAAAGGGTACAATTCAATGGTCTTTGGTGTATTCACAGAGTTGTATAACTCTCACCGTAATCAATTTTGTTTTCATCACCCAAAAAAGAGACCCCATCCCCATTAGCTGTCATTCCCTGTTCCTCCCCAGCCACCTCCCCTTCCAAACCCAGGGCAACTACCAGTCCTTTATGTTTTGATTAAAATTGCAGTCGAGATCCTCCCCCCGCCCTGTATTCCTCATTCCCAGAGTTACCCTGCTCTACTGAAATGCTTATGAATATTGGGAAAAACCTAAGAGAAACTTGTTTGCCAATAACTAGTACAAAAAATAGCTCTGGGAGCCCACTGGTTAGCTTTACTGCTCTTCCCTGGGTAGAAGCCGAAGCAGTAGTCATGAGCGATCTGCTCATGAAAAACTGTCACTGATGAGCTTCAGTTTCTCGTCTGCTTTCAACTCCATGATCGCGTGGAAGGGATTAATTTGTCAGAGGTGGCCTACAACTTCTCTGCTCCCACATTTGTTTCCACAAGGTTTTTCAAAATCAATCCTTTTTCAGAGAAAGATATTACTGGAAAGTGTCCTAATATTCCTAAAACGTTATACCCGTGGGTCCCTACCTTGGCTGCCCAGAACCACTAGTGATATTTTAAAAACAAAATGGAACAAAAACCAAAGGAAGGACGTTGACTTGGGCCTCTCACCTGAGGGGTTCCGATTCATTAGGATTAGGGGAGAGCTGGGCTTCTTTGTTTCAAAATGAGGATGACACACAGACAGGTGCCTTGGTAATTCTGAGACACATCAGGGCTGACGGACCAGCCACACGTTGTGGCACTTGTCTGGAGATGAGAATAAAGAGGCCATTTTGCTTAAATTTATCAAAATAGATAATGATTCAGTTGTCAGAAGACCAGTTAGAAAAGCGAAGGAACTATTTCCCAATAAGGGATAGAGGTAGAACTCCTGAATACTTCATGCCATGGTTACATTGGACGTTTAGTTTTCTGGAACATTCACTGGTAGGCACGCCCGGACTTCTAGGGTTCTCTCCTGAAAATGGCAGAGCAGGGAATACAGTTTGGAAGTTGGAGTGAGTTTTAAATGGAGGACAGTTAATTTGATCCCTGTAAGTGAAATACCTATAATTCTTCTAGGCTCCCTGAGTGGGGCATTTGCGGCTTGTCTCCAAACGGATCCTTGGACTGTTTCCAAAGATATACTTTAGGACTCTTAAAAACACACGAGGACTTTGTTGGACAGGAAGGAAAAGCCACATCCAGCCTCCGGTCCCTTTCTCTGACCTATCAGCCCCCACCGCTCCGTACTGGCCCCCGTGTGCCCCTCTCGAGGCGGTCCCTTCCTCCCCCAGCTTCCATCACTCCCGCCAGTGGCCCCCCGTCTCTGTCTGTGGCCCTGACCTGGAGCTTTAGACTGGAAGATACCTGCATGCTTGGCATGGCTGCTTACGGATCCTAAGGACAATGTACCTACAGTCCTGACTTTCTTCCCCCATCCACTGCACCTGCTTCTCTTCCAGAGGCTCTTGTCTTAGTGCCGTGCCCCCCCCCACACCCATTGCTCCCTCCAAGGATTTGAGAAACGCCCCCTCCTTCCCCAACCCTTCAGTCCCAGGCCCTTGGGGATGTCTGCTCCCACCCGCTCATGTGTTTGGCCTTTTGTCTTCATCTCTTCTCACTCGCTAGGCCAAAACTACTCTCCCTTTCCCGGCTGTCTACACACATCCCCCCCCCCCCCCCAGGAAAACTGCACAGTTTCCCTGCTGCTCTTGGGAGCATGGGGTGCCCCTTACACCGTTAACTCCATCTTGGGGCTGAGACTTCCCGTACTCCAGGCACCCCTCCTGTAGTTCACCCTCCTCCGCTCGCAACTTCGGTGCTTAGGGCAGGGTGAGCTGCCTTGTTTCTGTGACTCTTCCCTCTGCACCCTTGACCCCAGATGCCTTCCGGGCCCCACCTGGGGGGGGGGTCCCCTGTGTGGGCTGTCCGGCTCACCAGCACCTGGCTGAACCCCCCTCCTTCCAGTCCTCAGCCCCGCTTGCCGGCTGATGATTGTACCCACCAGCTTCACAGCCGGGGTGTGCGCCCCCCTCCCCAGCAGGAGACACTCCCTTGCCCAGTTGGGTGATGTTTTTAAGAGCTTGTGGTATTTGCAGAAACCATCCCTTCTCGGGATATTTGCACAGCTCAGCTTTTATGGTCCGTTTTTGCTTTAGCACAGATAACACTCTTTGTCAAGTGTTACAAGTCAGAAAGGGACATTTCTTACTGTGAACGCTACCCCATACCCCTTCCTTAGCGGAAGCTCATAAATTCATTTACCCATCCTGGCCTTGGATTTAAAATAGTGTTACAGGGTTGGGTCATCTCGAGGCTAGTGTGAGCTCAGGGTTACGGTACCCGCTCACCCCAGCAAGGTGTGTGCATTCTTCTCTCGCGCCATCTAAAAATCCTGCAGTGAACACGTGAATACGTTTGTGATGAGGCTTTCAGAGGCTTTCCCAGGTTTTTAAAACAGCTTTATGGAGGTGTAGCTTACCTATCATAAAATGCAGCTCTGTTAAGTGTCCAAGTCAGTGATTTTTTAGTAAATTTACAGAGCTGTGGAACCATTACCACAACCCCAAAAAGATTCCCCCGAGCTCCTTACTCATTCAGTTGACTTCAGAGTTTAATAATGGGATTTTATACCAGTGTTTCATGAAGTCCACTATTTGGAACGCCTGGGTCAGATCCCTTGGGATAGTCGGACTCTCTAGACCTACAGTTCTGACAGGTGAGCCAGGTGATTCCAAAGTACAGCAGTGTTTAAGAACAGCTACCCTGAACCTGAGGTTTGCCCTGTTTCCCAGAAAACCAGTGTCTCAATCTGTGGACTCCAGATGACCAAACAAACTCCAAAACAGAGTTTGTGAGATGACCCGTTGGAGAGACAGAAGAAAAGATTAGGGCGTCTGTTCGTTCTGCATTTGCATCTTCAAACTTGAAGCAAAATTTAAAGTTATTATTATTTTTTAGATTTTATTTTATTTATTTGAGAGAGAGAGAATGAGCAAAAGCAGGGGGAGAGGCAGAGGGAGAAGCAGGCTCCAAGCGGAGCAGGGAGCCCAATGCGGGGCTCAATCCCAGGACCCTGGGATCATGACCTGAGCCGAAGGCAGACGCTTAACAACTGAGCCACCCAGGTGCCCCATTGAAGCAAAATTTAAATATTGAAAGCCAGGGACCCTCAATCTGTATATCAGACGAGCGTCTGTCAGGTCCGGTCCTTGAGGTGTCTTGTGGAAGGAGTCTCAGGAGTCAGAGTTCTGTGGGGGTTTATTTTCAGGACATGGAGATGTAGATTGCAGGTGATGAGTGTTCATGTGACCCATTTGAGGGATGTCATTTAACTAAACCTCATAAATAGGTGGCTTTAAAAGATTTCCGCAGGAAGACTCCACATTATTAATATAAACCCAAGTAAACCATAAGAAAATGCCCAACTCATTTTGAGAAAAAAACCATGACAGGCTAAGGAGATAGGATGATTTTTTCCTTTGGCTTCTTTATTTATTAGTACCTTTTTGAAAAATTGAGCTACGGGGGTGTCTGGGTGGTGCAGTTGGTTAAGCATCTGACTCTTGGTTTTGGCTTGGGTTGTGATCTTGGGATTGTAAGATCGAGCCCCACATTGAGTCCTGCGTGGGGCTCCACACTCAGCGCAGAGTCTTCTAAAGTTTCTCCCTCTGCCCCTCCCTCCTGAGCATGGGTGTGCTCTCTCTCAAATCAAAAAAATCTAAAAAAATTTTTAAAAATTGAGATATAATTCACAGGGATAGTATTTATCCTTTTAAAGTGTACAGTTCAGTGTTTAGTATATTCTCAGCACCATGCAACCGTTGCTACTATCTGATTGCTGAACATTTTCATCACCCCCAAAAGAAACCCCATATCTCTTCAACTCCCACCCCTACTCCTCAGCCCTGGCAACCACCAGTCTACGTTCTGTGTCTGTAGGTTTGCCTGTTTTAGATGTTTCATGTAAGTGAAATCTTACAATGTCTTTTGCCCCTGGTTTATTTCGGAAACTTAGCATAATGTCTTCGAGGTTCCTCCAGGTGGTAGCATGCATCTGCGCATCATTCCCCTTTGTGATGGAACGACACACGTGACCATTTGAAATGTCATTTCAAATCTGTAACGTTCAGTGCCCCTTACCCTGAATGGATTAGTCAATTCTGTGAAAAATGCTGTGTTTCATTTTTGTCCTATCATTTCTAGAATTCGTCTTTTGTTGTTTTATAAGGCACAATACAATATTTGTACAAAGTTAAATCCACATATGGCGGGTACTCAAGAATTTTTTTCCCATGAGGTGTCTGGGTGGCTCAGTCGATTAAGCATCTGCCTTTAGCTCAGGTCATGATCTGAGGGTCCTGGGATCAAGTCCCGCATCGCGCTCCCTGCTCAGCAGGGAGCCTGCCACTCCCCCTGCTTGTGCTCTCTTGCTCTGTCTCTGACAAATAAATAAAATCTTAAAAAAAAAAAAAAGTTTTTTTTTCTCAGTGTATTATGTGATCAGAATGTTTTGAGACACACACACACATATGTATGTGTATATATATGTATATGTATATATGCAACATGCCTGGGCCATACTGCATTCTTTAGGTATAGGGGGCCCAAACACATATTTCTTAAAATCTTTATTGGTTATTCTGAGAACCATTTCCAGTTAAGAACCACTGTTAGAATATCACTATCAGACTTACTTTTTTTCACTTATGTCAGTGATGACAATCATTTTTAATGGTTTTATTTTTTATTTTTAAGAAGATTTTATTTATTTGAGAGAGAGCGAGAGCATGTGCACAAGCAGGGGAGAGGGGCAGAAGGAGAGGGAGAAGCAGGCTCCCTTCTGAGCAGGGAGCCCAATACAGGACTCCATCCCAGGACTCTGAGATCATGACCTGAGCCAAAGTCAGACGCTTAACCCACTGAGCCACCTGGCTGCCCCCCACCACACCACCACCACCACCACCACCACCACCAGTGGTTTTATAACGGAGCCAGGACTAGGGTAAGGAGACTGAGGTATGCACCTAGGGAACAAAACTTAATGAGATGCTGAAAAAACCTTCCACAACAACGCACAACACAGCGATCAAGATAAATCACATTGTAATGCAGTATTTTATTTTATTTTTTTAAAATTTTTCTTGTTATGTTAATCACCATACATTACATCATTAGTTTTTAATGTAGTGTTCCATGATTCATTGGTAATGTGATATTTTAAAAATTCAGTGCAGAACTCGATGATGAACACAAATCTGAGTTTTGAAATTAACAGGATCCAGCTCTGATTGGCACTGTGAAGGCTCATATCCCTCATCGTAGTCCTGGCCCTGATTTTATGTTGTCAGTGGCTTTATACCCCAGTTCTCAGCCTTGGCGTAGTGACATAGTGGGCTGGATCATTCTTGGTGGTGCGGGCTGTGTGTGCATCGTAATGTCTAGTAGCATCCTTGCCCTCTACCATCTGGATGCCTGAGGTGTCCCCCTCCCTCGGTTCTAAGAACCAGAAATACCTCCGGACACTGATGGGGGGCAAAACCCTGTGTTAGGTGGGGTTCAATTTCAACAAATTGAAATTTGTTGCCTTTGTCATGCTGGAAGATGTCTATGAAGTAAGTAAACATTAAGTTTTTTCAGTCACTTAATCGCCTCCTAACTCATTTGACTTATTTGGAAGTGGAGGCTCTGGGCCTATCTCTGTGGGGGTGATCCTTTGAGGTTAATGAGCTATCAGCTTTGAGCTTTATTTGAGGGAGTGAAGTGAGGCTTTCGAAACAGGAATTCTTCCTCTTTTATGTAAATGTATTTTTACCAGTTGCAACCCATTCCCAGTATCCATTATTATGAACGCTCCTAAGTGGCGACGTTTTAATTGCCTTTAGAAAGAAAACAGGTATTTGTGGGGAATCAATGTTTAATTTTTGTATTAATCTTTCCTCTAAGACAGACTGGCGTTCTTGTTGGGAAGGGGCCCTGCCGTGGGTCGCTAGCGAGACATGGAGGCCTGTTGTTCATTTTCCCCTCTGTGTCTCATATGTTGGCTGGGGCGTGGAGAACGACCCTGAAGCGTTATATGGTGTGAGGTAGCCACCCAAGGGCCCATGTCAGGGGCCTTTGTCTGTAAGGCCTCGATTTCCTCTTCCAGCTTCTGACCTCATGTGGAGGTTTTGTCCCCCTCCACAAGAGGACCCGTGGTTTCTCCCCAGGGCAGAAAGAGTTGTAACCTGCCTCTGTGGATACCACATCTGTTTTTGTTTTCCCCTGGTATTTTTTTAAGTAAAGAGAAATGTGCGTAGGTTCAAGGCCTGTGGGGAGGAGGCTGCAGATAAACACTGTACGATGTGAAACTCTTCCATATGGGGAATGTGAGGATGTTTGAAGACTGGGCCCTCCTGATGCTGGCCGAGCCCCTGGTAATTACCAGCACCTTCAAGGTGGATGTGGATTGCCATTTGGTGTGTGGCTGAGCCTTTCCTTTGAGAATTAAAAGACGTGCTTCAGAATCTGTGATTTTTTTTTAACCTTTTTTTTTAAAAAGATTATTTTATTTATTTATTTGAGAGAGCGAGAATGAGAGAGAGAGAGAGAGAGAGAGAGAGAGAGCACATGGCGGGGGGAGGGTCAGAGGGAGAAGCAGACTCCCTGCTGAGCAGCAGGGAGCCCGATGCGGGACTCGATCCCGGGACTCCAGGATCCTGACCTGAGCCGAAGGCAGTCGCTGAACCAACTGAGCCACCCAGAATTTGCGATTTTAATTCCTCCTCCCTGAAACGTCTTTGGTTGGAAAGGGGAATAAGTATTAATTTGAGAGAGAAATAAATGAACGTGGAGACATTACACCTGTGGCCCATGGTGCTGGTTGAGGTTAATCACCCCCGTGTTCTGATTTGGTGTCAGCTAGTTCCCTGGTCTGGAAGTGAGGTCTTTGCAAGAAATCTGGGGCTACCGTGTTTCTCTCTTCGCCTTGCTCTTGGCTGGTTTCCCCTGGACTACAAAGCTCCAGAGCTCGGTGTTATCCCCCATTTGAAATACTAGTGGAAATATTTCTGGAGATGTGAAATCAGATGGCTTCTACAAATCAAAGGTTTGTAAAGGATGCCCTTCGCTTGTCCTTTCCTTCAAACCCACTGTTACTGAAACTTCCCGGCCAAAGCAATGACGTTGTCAGAGGTCTTGTTATTGCCTCTAATGTCAAATAATAATTTGGTCCAGGTGCGAAGGAATGTGGGCAAAAGGAAGACACGTGGCCGTGGCTAGAACATAAATTACAGAGCTCAGAGAGAACGTTCTGAATGTAGTCTTTCCAGTGGAGAGAACCTTTCTGTAAATCTCTAGTCCTTGTTATAATTTTAGAGTTAAATTCTTTATAATTAAAAGCACTTGGCAAATAATGATTCATTTAAACTGTAGTTCTGATTCATTGCTCTAATTACCGTAACCATGCAGTGCCCTTTGGCCTGGAAGTGAAACTCATGCCCTCTTGACACCAGAGGTTAACAGAGCAGGAAGCCTGAGCAGTATGTGTGCCTGCATGACCAGAATAATTTAGTAATTGTCTAATTACTGGGGAGGCTAATGCCACTGCTAAAAATAGTATTAAAAAATTAAATGAAAGTCATTTTCTTATTTCTTGCGACCCATCTGTTCTCTGTTTTGGGCAACCATGTGTTCATGGGTATAAAACGCGATTCCTTCTGCGGGATTGGGTCACTTCTCTTCTGTTGGATCAACTATGTTTCTAATGGAATGCGCACCCAGTAAGTCCAAAGACATCTCTAACTTCCGGGACTCCGATGGCTGTAGAGGAAGACCATTGCAAGGGGTTCCTTTTGTCCACAACTGTGATTTAAAACCTGGAAGGAATGTTGGTCGATTTGATATTTATTTCTTCTTGGAAATAGAAAAAACTGCCATGTCAGGGGAGGATGCCCCACCATCACCTTAGGAATCCTGAGTGGTTAATTGGTTCATCTGTTCAGCAAATGTAGATGTATGCCAGGCACTGCCCTGGGTACTAGGCTTGCAGTGATGAATAACACACACGGACAAGTTTTGTTCTCATGGCTTAACAGGAGAATCCTCAGGTGAACGAGCCCGTTTTAGACTGAACACGGCATCACACATTGCAGTGTGGGGGCATGATTTCTGGTGGGGGGACACACAGGGCACCATGAGCTGGGGGCCTCGGTGAGGGCCTCTCTGAGTATGTAACATTTAAATTGAGACCTCAGTGATGAGACAGAGTGAGCCAGCCCTGCGGAGTTCTGGGAAATGATGTTTCAGGCAGAGGGCAAGGCAGCTGCAAAGGCCCTGAGGCAGGAAGGAGCTTGGTGGTGTTCAAAGAACAGAAAGGCCAGTGTGGCTAGAGCAGAGAGAAGGAACATGGCATGAAGGGAGGCTACACAGGTGGGCAGGGGCTGGTCAGGTAGGCCCCATGGGGTAGGGGGGCATCTGAGTTTTACTGAAGACTAAGTGCAGGGCAGCCCCTGCAACAGAGAATTATCCTCCCCAAGTGTCAGTTGTGCCAGTTTAAGAAGCCCTGGCCTCCTATGCCAGCCTCACTTACAGCGTAGGCCCCTGACACCACCCAAAGGAGGACAGATTCATTTGTTCAAAGGTAGAATCACCCACATTCACTGAATTGTAATATTTTTCTCTGTTTTGCATTTGGGGTTTTTTTTTTTTTTTTGGCCAATTATAAATGATTGGGTCCCTAAAAATTACATGCCATTTATTGCAGTGTCACTGTAGATGTATCTAAGAGCTGTGCATTAACGCCATGGAAAGAAAAGCAGTATCTCCACATGGTGGTTCTTCCACACGTTCTGGACCCTTCTGTGTCTCCAGTCATCTTCCTTGTTCATTTCTTTCTCCTGTAGCAATCCCAGGATCCACCTGCTCAGAAGGGCCCCACGCTCACCACCAAAGTCCGGCGGACCATGAGCAGCCGTGTGCACGAGGCCGTGAAGGCCATTGCGCTCTGCCACAATGTGACTCCTGTGTACGAGTCCAATGGTGTGACCGACCAGGCTGAGGCCGAGAAGCAGTACGAAGACTCCTGCCGCGTGTACCAGGCCTCCAGCCCAGATGAGGTAAATCCCAGGCAGAGGTGGCTGGACACACAGAGAGATGCCGTGCCCGTTTTCCATGTGCTGGAGGTGGTGTTCCCCAGGGGAACCACCTGTCAGCAGACGTGAGCCAGGAGGATACCGTGCCGCCAGGGAAACACATTTTCAGATGCACACAAGACTTGCTTCCCTCTAGAACAAATACTCTTGGACTCCAGATATATCCCAAATAAGCAGGGAGAAAGAGATCTTGTTTGTGATTCAGATGGCCAGCTCATAAGGGCACAAGGTCTCACTTAAACCACACCTTCCCTTTTCTTTCTTTCTTTTTTTTTTTTAAGATTTTATTTATTCACTTGTGAGAGAGACAGAGAACAGGCAGAGGGAGAGGGAGAAGCAGACTCCCTGCTGAGCAAGGAGCCCGATGCGGGACTCGATCCCAGGACCCTGGGATCATGACCTGAGCTGAAGGCAGGCGCCCAACCGTCTGAGCCACCCAGGCGCCCCACACCTTCCCTTTTCTAAAAAATACCAGCCTTATTAAGTTATAGTCCACATACCATACAATGGCTCATTTAACATACACAGTTCAATGTTTCCAGTATATTCACAGAGTTCTGCAACTATTAGCACAATCGATTGAGAATATTTTCACCACCCTAAATAAGGAAGCACTCCATCCTGTATTCTCCTGGACTCCTGCCCTCCCCCAAGCCTCTGCCCTCCCCTTATTGTCTCTCTGGATTTGCCTATTCTGGACATTTCATACAAATGGAAATGTACAGTATATGACATTTGTGTCTGGCTGTTTTGACTTAGCATTGGTTTTCCAGATTCATCCACGTAGTGGCGTGTATCGACCCCCAGGCCTTTTTATGGATGACTAATATTCCATTGCATGGATAATACTACATTTTGTTTACCCATTGATCAGTTAGTGGACATTTGGATTGTTCCTTTCTTTCTTTTCTTTTTTTGCTGTTATGGATAATGCTGTTGTGATCATTTGTGCACAGGTTTTTGGGTGGACATATATCTTCATGTCTCTTGGTGTATTTGTAGGAGTGGAATTGCTGGGTCCTATGTTAACTCCATGTTTGAGCTTCTCAAGACCGCCATGCTGCTCCCTAAAGTGGCCACATCCTTTTACAGCCCCAGCAGCGACGCATGAGGGTTCCGGGTTCTCTCCTCCTTTGCCCACATGGCAGTCCTTCTCCATGCCCACTCCTTGGCATGCCCACTCCTTGGCAGTCCTTTTGACTCTGGCCATCCTAGTGAGTGTGGAGTGGTTTTCATCTGCATTTTCCTTGATGGCTCAGGATGATCTTTTCATGCCCTCCCTGGCTGCTTGTGCTTCTCTCCAGTGTCCTTTGCCCCCTTTTAAATATGTGCCTTTTTGTTGTTGAGTTAAAAGAGTTTTTTAAAATACATTCTAGATCAAAGTCTCTTACGGGATATATGATTTGCAAGTATTTTCTCCTACTATGAAGGCTGTCTTTTTACTTTTGCGATGGTGTCCTTTGAAACCCTAAAGTGTTTAGTTTTGATCAAGCCCAATAAGCCACATATTTTCAAAGTTGTTGTTTCTGTGTAAGCACATGCTCTTGCTAGAACCAGGACTCCTTTGATTACATGTTCAAGAACAGAGGGTCTCCTAGCATGGTTGCCCTTTATGGTTTTCTGTAACAAGCCCCTAATTGTTTTTCCTCCCGGGGTATCGGGGTATCATGGGATGGGAATGCCCTCATCATGAAAATAGGATCTTCTTTATCTTCCTGACTTGAGTGTGATTCAGACACAGGGGTAGTTCACCAAGCTGGTAACTTTCTGGTCTTTTTTCCTTCTCCCTCCTTCCCTTCCAGAAAACTTGTACTCTGATTATGAAAGCCATTACTTTTCAGTATAGAACATTTGGACATTTCAGACAACTATAAAGAAGAAACTGGGTCAATTGTAATCTAATTCTTGAAAGATGACAATAGGTAACTTTCCTTGAGCATTTGGTGCCCATCAGATCCCATTTGAAGTGCTTTCCATGTTGTATCTCATTTAATCTTTCTAGCAACTAAGGGGCCCCATTATGACCCCCATTTTCAGAAGAGAAAAATCAAAGGCAGTTTAAATATTTAGCCTAAAGTCACCTGGATTTTTTTCTAACTTTTTGTCTTGGAAACGATTTCATCCTTAAAAGTTGTAAAATTGGTACAAAGAATTCCCCATTACCAAAACTGCACTCTGATTCCTCAAATGTTAACCTTTTTCTGCCTGTGCTTTATCATTCTCCCTCACCTTAGAAGAGTCAGCTGCAGACATGATCTTCTTTTACTTTTATTTTCTAAAAAACAAGGACATTTATCAGAAACAGGAAATTAACATTGATACAGTACTATTATCTGCCCTGCAGATGTCATCAATTGTCCCACTGACATCTTCACCAAAAAAAAAAAAAAAAAGAATATTTCTCCCCCCAGATCAGAGTCCAACCTGGGAATGCACACTACATTCAGTTGCCATAACTTTTGTCTCTCTCTCTCTTTTTAAGATTTTATTTATTAGAGAGAGAATGAGAGTACCAGTCAGGGGGAGGGGCAGAGGGAGAAGCAGGCTGAGCAGGGAGCCTGGTGTGGGGCTCGATCCCAGGACCCTGAGATCATGACCTGAGCCGAAGGCAGAAGCTTAACCAACTGAGTCACCCAGGCACCCCTCATACCTCTTATCTCTTTTAATGTGGAATGGTTCCTCAGCTTTCCTTGACTTTCATGGCTCTCACACTTTTGAAAGATACAGGCCATTATAGAACGTGCCTCAGTTTGGGTCTGACGACATTTTTTACGGTGAGGACTCAGTTTATTGCATCTTTGGCGCTGTCCTCAGTGTGTGTGATAAGGAGACCTGCTGTTGGTGTGTTCTGCTCTTCAAGATGCTAACTTAAGGTCACTTGGATCCGGTGGTGTCCCCAGGTTTCTTCATGGTAAAGGTGCCATTCTCCCTTGCTAATTAATCTTATGACAGCAGTTCCCTGACTGACAGGGCCAGGGTTCTAACCCAGGGAGTGTGTTGTCACAACCCAAACTCTTAGTCATTTTACTAAGTTATTTTTCAGAAGCCAGTAAGAATTCTTTTTTTTTTTTAAGATTTTATTTATTTATTTATTTACTTAAGATTTTATTTATCTATTTAAGAGAGAGTGTGAGTGCAAGAGAGCATGAGCAGCGGAGAGGGCCAGAGGGAGAGGGAGAAGCAGACTCCCCACTGAACAGGGAGCCCGATGCAGGGCTCGATCTCATGACCCTGAGACCATGACCTGAGCTGAAATCAAGAGTTGGACACTTAACCGACTGAGCCACCCAGGCGCCCCACGACCAAGAACTTCTTGATGTGTGATCTTCCAATATCTTTTCATATATTTGTTTCCTAAAAAACAGGAATTTTTAACATAAAGTTCTGTATTCTCCATTTTAAACTTAATATTTCATCATGCCCGTTTCCCAAATTTTTTGAATGTCCTTCAAAGACTGCTTTTTATAATTACTGTTTATGTATGCACACTAATATTTTTAACTGTTCTCCTCTCGTAGGGACTTAAGTTCTCTCTCATGTTTAGCACAACATTTATACACATTTGCAGTGAGCATCCTTACACCTAATATTTCTAGAAATGGTGTGACTGGGCTCATTAATTCGGTAGGCATTCTGGGGTGCCTCCGATGGACGGGGCACTGGGGAGTCAGCGTTTAACAAGACAGCAGCTCCTGTCCCCAGGGAGGCGGCAGGGGTGAGACCGTTGAGCATGTGAGTCTTGGGATGCCAGCTCCATACCTGGGCGGCCGCATCGCTCTGTACCTCCCTGTATTTGTGACAAGAGGGTTGTCATGAGCCCCTTAGCAGACAGTCAGTCCTGTGGGTCACACTGAAGGAGTATTTTTAAGGCTCGTGGTATAAATGATCAGGTAATTTCCAGAATTATTTTTAAACCATTTTATTCTTCCACCAATGTTACAGGCGCTTCCAATTATTTTTTGTTCATTTTACGAAGGAGGGAGGGGGCTTCTCTGGTAAGTAGTGTCATAGAGGTGTGGACTAATTGGAGAGTATCAGGGAGCCAGAGCTGGATGGTGCTTGGGGGAATACCGCAATGATAACCTTTTCCAAAGTTCAGAAAGGAAAGGATGTGTGGACATGGCTTTCCCTGACCAGTAGCTTCTTTATCCTTCTTGAGGGCCCTGGAGTGTGGCCCCTGGGAGTTGACTCCTTGCAGTCAGCTTGGTGTTTGTGGAACAGCTCAACTCTGGGTGCAGCCCATCTGTGACCACTGACATTTGAACCTGTATTTTTAGGGGTGAAAAATGTTGTAACCTTGGCCAAATTCTGAGATGGGCATTGTGTGCAGAGAGTGAGAAGGGGGAGGGCGGATGGATGTGGATAACCCAACCCATTTATTCGGACTTGTGCTGTAGTAACTGAAAGCTTCAGATGGGTCATCGTTTCTCCACCGAATTTAGTCTGTTGGATCTCGCTTTTCCATTTGGAAATGGGAGACAATGTCCCTGAATGGGAGATGTGTGAAAGGCCCAGGTTCTTGGTAGTTACACACTGGGAACCAGTAGCTTACGGGTGTTTGATGGGACTAGAATTTGAACAGGTTTCAGATGTGGACGATCTGATCAGCACTGCTACCTGGGAGCTCCTAATACTCGCTGTTGATTGACACGCACATGGGAGGTCTTTAATGCCTGTCCCCCAATCCTGGTTCCCACTGAACTTTGATATATTTGTTTTAGGGCTAGGCAGAGTTTTTCCATGCGGGTAAATCTTCCATGGAATGCTTTGTGCCTCTCAGCTCTTGTTCATTAATTGCACTCAGATTCAGATTTGTCTTGTTTTTCTAAGATTCTGAGTAGTGATTGAAAAAAAAAAGTTATTTTCTTTTGGTCTTCGGTGTCTTCACAGAGGTCAGTGTTACCTTATTAGTATCCCCCCCCCCAACAACTTTATTTATCATTGCACAGTTATTTCATGTTTAT